CATGAGGAAGCAGGGGGCAGGGAAGTGGGGGGGGCAGAGCCACGGGGAAGCGAGGGTGGGGCATAGCCGCAGGGAAGCAGTGGGGGGTCACAGCCGCGGCGAAGCGGGAGACAGGGAAGCAGTAGGGGGCAGAGCTGCGGGGAAGCGGGGGGGGCACAGCTGTGGGGAAGCGGGGGGCAGGGAAGCGAGTGGGGGCAGAGCCGTGGGGAAGCGGGGGGCAGGGAAGCAGTAGGGGGCAGAGCCGTGGGGAAGCGGGGGGCAGGGAAGCGGGGGGGGCAGAGCCACGGGGAAGCAGTGGGGGGCACAGCTGTGGGGAAGCGGGGTGCAGGGAAGCAGTAGGGGGCATAGCCACGGGGAAGCGGGGGGCAGGGAAGCAGGCGGGGGGGGGCCCGGAAGCAGTGGGGGGGCAGCCTGCTCTCTCACCTCGGCAGGCGTGCGGGTCGCTGCCCCCGGCCGGGTGCCAGGGCAGGTCCTGGTAGAAGTCCTCGCACCGCTCGCAGTTCAGGCCAGCGGTGTGGTGCCTGCAGATGCAGCGGCCGTGAATCTGGGAGAGGCGGCGATGGGGCCCAGGTCAGCGGTGTCCCTGGCGCACGTGAGACGGTGCCACGGCCCAGGCTGGCCCCAGCCCCTCACGCTGGGGGGCCCAGGGCCCTCAGCTGCCATGAGCAGGCCCTGCCGCAGACAGCAGGCCTCCCGCCAGGCCTGAATGGGTCTCATCTGCACTGGGGCAGGAGGAACGGCTGGGGCACAGGGACCCCTGGGGCCGCCCCACACCCCCTGCCACCCGCCTGCTGCCCCAGGCATCACGGGCACAGCAGCCACCCAGGGCTGGGCCTGGCTGCCTTGTGGCAGGTCTTGGGGTGGGGCTCTATCCCCTTGCTGCCCCCTCCCCACCCCACTACCCTCCCCGTGGGGTGGATCCATGCCCCCTTACCATGCCCTCCACGCCCGCTGGCACGCCGGGGGCGGGCGCGCACTCGGAGGCGTGGCCGTAGCAGAAGCAGCTCCCGCGCAGCACCAGCTCGTAGAGGGCGTAGTAATACTTCTCCTGGATCTCCCGCCGCGAGTCCAGCAGGTTGTCGCCCAGCGTGTGCAGCCGGGTCAGGTTCACCCGCAGGTTGGTGACGCGCAGCAGATCTGGGGGCAGGGGGAGCTTAGCACTGGCCCCACCCCAGCCCCCAACCTCCCAGCCCCTGCTGCCCCCAGTCTCCCCCAGCCCCTGCACCGCCTAGCCCTGATGCCTCCCACTCTCCTTGGCCCCCGTGTATGGTGCCCAGGGACCACCCCTGCATCCCCCCGTCTCCAACACTCCCGGGGCCCCTGCGACCCCCTGGCCTGCCTGTGCCTCCCCTGCCCTGGGCATCTCCCTGCACCACCTGTGGCTCTGAACCCGGTGCCCCACAGCGCCGCCCGCAGCTCTGGACCTGGCACCCCACGGCACTGCCCGCAGCTCTGGACGCCGTGCCCCACGGCGCCGCCTGCGGCTCTGGACCCCATGCCCCAGGGCTGCAAGCTCTAGGGCAGGGATCCCAGCCCATCCTCCCGGCCGAGCCCCCCGCCTCACGCCCCTACCCTGGATGGCTGGGCTGTATGGATCCTCCACCGGGATGGACGGGTCCAGGACCTTGAAAATCACCTGGGCAAAAGGTGAGGGGCAGTGTGACGTTCTGAGTGTGATATAATATCTCATTGAAAGGTGACAGGGCCAGAAAGAGTTAATTACCTCCCAGACTGACCTGACCCAGGGGTGAACTGTAGAGACTGGCTAGGGAGATAGGTAAATGAATAGAGC